ACACACACACAGGGACAGCACTTTGGTGTGCAGCTGCTTAATATTAAACCTGGTTTTTACTGATTTCCTTGCTGGTGGTTTTGTGCCTTTAGAAATTCTTCCTCTGCCCTGGCTTTGGCCTCTCCCTCAGCAGGCTCAGATGGTGCAGCTCCAAGGGGAAAATGAGTCCGTGCTCCTCAGCACAGCCACCCCCTTCCAGGAGCAGGGTGACATCTGTGTTTGTCACCATTTTCTCCACGGGGCATCACCCCCCTCCCTGTGGCTTCTCTGAGGTCTCTGAGCTGGGGCTGTTCAGCCTGGAGAAGGGAAGGCTTCAGGGAGACCTTAGAGCCCCTTCCAGGGCCTAAAGAGGCTCCAAGAACTGCAGAGGTGCCTTGGACAAAGGCCTGAAGTGACAGGACACGGGGGAATGGCTTCCCACTGCCAGAGAACGGGGTTAGGGGGAATATTAGGAAGAAATTCCTCCCTGGGAGGGTGGAGAGGCCCTGGCACAGGTTCTCAGAGATGCTCTGGCCTCCCCATCCCTGGAAGTGTTCCAGGCCAGGCTGGATGGGGTTTGTAGCAGCCCGGTCTAGTGGAAGGTGTCCCTGCTTGCAAAGGGTGAGATCAGGAAAAAACAACCACAAGTATTCCCAAGGCTGAGGAGGATGAGCTCTGGTGAAGGACTACAAGGGGAACCCCAGCACCCCAACATCTAATCTCCAATAACCTGTATTGCATCATCAGGGGTACTGTCAGTAAGAAATGTGGGCTCTGATGCTGATACCCTGCTGCAAGCCTGTCGTGGTTTGGCACTGGCCAAACGCCAGGCACCCACGAAAGCCCTTCATTCACCTTCTCCTGCTCTCAGCTGGGCAGAGGAGAGGGAAACAAAAATTAACAAAGGGCTCATGAGTTGAGATGAGGACTGGGAGAAAAAACATTCCAACAATAGAAAAACAGTTCAAATTTAATGGTATTGAGTAAATTTATAATTAACAGATTCAATGGACCATAAACACAAGTAAAATAAAGCTTTAAAACACCGTTTTTTTCCCCCTAGGCCCCTCCCTTGTTCCCACCAGCAGTGTAGGGAAACAGGGTGAGGGGTTTCTTTACCAGCATTGAAGCACTGCCAATAAAAAACTGTTTACTCAGAAACAACCCGTGTTATCCATTAAACAAAGAGAGACTGCATATTCGGGTAGGAATTAAAACAAACAAAACACCGATATCAAAATATAATAAATTGGGAGTACATTGGAGAGTATCTATAAAAAGTCTGGGATATTATAGTGTATAAATTGCCTGGAAATTGTTTTTTCTTTAGACATATCTATTGCAAATAAATTTCAAATATGTT